TCGTGCTCAAGGCCGTGGCTCCCCCATGACTTCCAGGGAGGAGGTCACCCATCATGGTGACTTAGGGAGTTGGGGTCATGGTCAAGATCGTGGTCTCCAGCTTCTGCACAACCTCAGGGCAGCGCCACGCAGCCGTGGAGCCAGGCTCACCCTGGGCGCCTGCCGGGCATCCTCGCATACCCTGGTTTCCAGGGCTTTCCAGGAAGACATGCTGCTGTGCCCCCACTTGGAGGTGTGTGAGCAGGTCACCGGGGCCCCTCACAGAAACCACAGAGCCTCAGGTCTGACCATGACAGCACAGGACAGGGGTCTGAGAGGTGAGCTGGCTGGGGCCGGGGGAGAGGGTTTGCAGGTGTGGGGGTCCTTCTACAAACTTCAGCCTGGGGTTCTCTACTGTGTTTTACCTGGGCCATTGGGGCTGGGGAGGCCCAGGAGGATCTGAAGGAGGAGGAATTTTTTATTATTTTTTTCACCCAAGAATATTTTTCCATTGATTTTAGAGAGAGTGGAAGAGAGAGGGAAAGACAGAAACATCGATGTGAGAGAAACACATCGATTGGTCGCCTCCTGTACTGACCAGGGCCTGGGCCGGGAGGAGCCTGCAACCGAGGTATGTGTCCTTAACTAGAATCGAACCCGGGACCCTTTGGTCCACAGGCTGATGCTCTATCCACTGAGCCAAACCAGCTAGGACCGGGGAGGGATTTTTTAGCACCTAAATAGCAAAGGGAAAAAGAAACAAGCCAACCAACGGTGACACATGGACCTTATTGGGATCTTGACAATCATAGACATGAAATCATATGTCTATGTGCGCAGTCATAGACATGAAATCATATGTCTATGTATAGGCACCCATGTATGAAAGTGGAACGCTGATTCCATCTGTGATATGGAGGAATTATTTTAATTTTTGTTTTAAAAATATGTCAGTGGCATTGCCCTTTTTAGTGTTCAGTTCTGAGTCCAACATGCAGACAGCTTTGTGGGACCCGAGATACAGAGCGGCTCGGCCGCCCGGGAAGCCCCTCATGCCACTCCCCGATAGGCTGCTCCTCAATCCCAGGAACCACTGTCTGTCCTCCCTCGCAGCTTTTGTCCTCTGGACAATGCCTCCTCTACGGACTCACCTACTGCGTGACCTTCCGGACTGGCCTCTTTCTCGCACACGTGTCTCTCAGGTTGCCCGGAGTGGCTGCACCAGGGGCCGATCTCAGGCACGGAACCTCAGGTTACCCTCTTCTGGCGGAAGGACCTCCGGGAAGTCCCTCCTGGCGTGGCGCTCCAGGATAGACGTGCTGAGGGCATCTGTGTACAGGCTTTTGTGTGAAGATCAGTTTTTTTTTTTCTCTGGGAATACCCAAGAGTGGGAACACTGGCTCATGTGTCAAGTATCCAGTTAAATTTTTTTTTTTAAATGCCAAGCTGGATATAAAAGGATCTCTTTCCCTTTTCCGTAGCATGGATGGACCTGGAGCTTAATGTACTAAGCAAAATAAGCCAGAGAAAGATACATATCACATGATCTCAGTTATATGTGGAATCTTAATGAACAAAATAAACCGATGAACAAAATAGGTCCAGAGGGCATGGATGCGTGGAACCGACTGACAGATCTCAGGGGGAAGGACCGGAGGAGATTAACCAAAGAACGTGTATTCATGTGTGCATAACCCATGGACACAGACAATGTGGTGAGAGCCTGGGTGGGATGGGGACTGGGTGAAGGGGGGCAAAGGGGGAAAAGGGGGACATCCGCTACGCTGTCAACAATAAACAAATAAGCCGAAACCCGTTTGGCTCAGTGGTAGAGCGTTGGTCTGTGGACTGAAAGGTCCCAGGTTCGATTCCGGTCAAGGACATGTACCTTGGTTGCGGGCACATCCCCGATGGGGGGTGTGCAAGAGGCAATGGTCGATGATTTCTCTCATCGATGTTTCTAGCTCTCTGTCTCTCTCCCTTCCTCTCTGTAAAAAATAAATAAAATATATTTTAAAAAATAAACAAATAAAACCACAACAAATCCCCTGGAGTTTAGAGGGCTGCACTACTCAGCATTTGCACAATTTACAATGCACGGGAGCCCAGGGTCTGCCTCCTCACTGGCGTGACCAAGTGACCCACCATCTACTTAGCCCAGGACTTGGGGGGGGGGGAGGTAGGTGTGATGTGGAACTTTCAGCGTTAAAATAGGAAGCTCCTGGGAAAACTGGAATGATTGGTCACCCTATCCTTGTCAGTTTTTTTTTTTTTTAATGTGCTTTTATTGACTTTAGAGAGAGAGAGAAAGGGAGGAGAAAAACTTTGATGAGAAAGAAGCATTAATTGGCTGCCTCCTGCATGCGCCCTCCCTTCCCCCCACTGCCCGCTGTGGATCGAGCCCACAACCTGTGTATGTGCCCTGGTTCATGGGTCGATGCTCAACCACTGAGCCACACTGCTGGGCATTATGTTTTACTTTAGCTATTCCAGTGTGTGTAGTTAGCATCTCATCATTTTAATTTGCATTTCCCTGAGAGTTGATGATGTTGAGCATCTGTTCATGCACTGTTTGCCATCCATATACTGATATCCTCCTTAGTGAACTGTCTCTTTAAATCTGGTCTCAACTTTTGCTAGGTGAATTGTCTTCTAACTTTGAGTTTTGAGAGCTTTCTATATATCCTCTCTCTCTCTCTAGTTGGATATGTGATTTCCACATTTGTCTCCCAGTCTGTTGCTTGTGTTTTCATTCTGGTAACAGTCGTTTTGAAAGCAAAGTTTTAAAATGTTGATGAAACTGCAGTTATCTTAGGTTTTCTTTATTTGTGGTAAAATTTATATAACATAAAATTTACCATTTAAAACATTTTAAGTGTACAATTCAGCGGTATTATATATCCAGTGTTGTGTAACCATCACCATAATCTATTTCCAGGGCTTTTTATCACCCTAAACAGAAACTCTGCACCCATTTCCCTCATCCCCAAGCTCCTGTAAACCTCTATTCTACTTTTTATCTCTTGAATGGGACTATTATTAACACCTTATATGAGTGGAATCATACAGTATTTGTCTTGTTGTGACTGGCTTATTTCCCTTAACATAATGTTTTCAAGGTTCTTCCATGTTGTAGCATGTGTCAGAACTTAATTTTTTTTTTTTTTTTTTTTTTTTTTTTGTTAATCCTCACCTGAGGATATTTTTCCCATTGATTTTTTTTTTTTTTTTTTTTTTTTTTTCTGAGAGAGAGGGAGGGAGGAAAGAGGGAAGGAGGGGCAGAGGGAGAGAGAGATCATGTAAGAGAGACACTACTTTGGTTGCCTCCTCCACATGCCCTGAGGAGGCAGAGGATGGAACCAACAACCCAGTACTGTGCCTTTGACCGTGCTCTTGACCCTTGATGGGGAATGGAAACCCATGACCCTTCCTTGCGCAGGAGTGTGTGTCTGTGCGTGCGCACAGAGCACATTGGACAGGGCTTAAATTTTTTTAAAAATTGTATTGATTTTTAGAGCGAGGAAGGAAGAGAGGGAGATAGAGAGAAGGATGTGAGAGAAAAACATCCATTAGTTGCCTCCTGCAGGAGGCCCAACCAGGGATTGAACCTGAAACCTGGATCGAACCGGCCACCTTTCGGTGTACACAACATTCAAACAAAGGAGCCAACACTCCAGAGCAGAACGTAATTCCTTTTTCAATCTCATTTAATTTATTTATAAGTGTGGCAAAGTACACATAACCTTAAATTTACCATGTTTACAGTGTTCATTTGTGCTAAGCGCATTCACGCGGTTGTGCACCATCCTCATAACTCTTGATTTTGCAAAACTGACACTCTGTCCCCATTAAACACTCTCCCCAACCCTGTTCCCCACAGTTTACGCATTTGTCTGTGCACCCGACTCCTCCAGGAACCTCAGATCAGTGGAGTCACAGCAGTTGTCTGGCTTATTGCACTGTCAGTCCTCAAGGTCCCTTCATGTCGGAGCAGGTGTCCCAGGCCCAATTCGTCGGTCCTTTCATCATTCCGTGTACATGGGTCTGTTGCCACTGCAGGGCTCACCCCCTCCACCGTGGGTAGGTGGGGGCGCGGTGGGGAGAATGAAGGAAGAGGAGGGGAAGAAGAGGAGGAGCGGTGGGCGTGCCCTACTCCACGAGCGCCAGGCCTGGTCCCACCTCCAGGACCCGGCTCCGCCTCCAGGACCTGGCACCACCCCTGCCCCGCGGCCTGCCGGGAGATGTAGTTCACAGCCGCTTAGGAAGCCGGACTCGGAGTCCCAGCGAGCCCCGCGGCGCACCTGCGGGCCCCCGACACCGTCTCACCCCATGGCCTGCCGGGACTTGTAGTCCAAATCCAGTGGATGCCTGGGCCCGGAGCGAGCGGCGGGACTCGGTGTCCCAGAGAGCCCCGCGCTGGGCTACAATGCCGCGCTCCGCCCTCGCTGTCGCCTCGGCCGCCGGCCTTTCTTCGGCCGTCGCCGCCACTGCCGCTGCTTTGCGGGCTGGAGTGCCCGGTGTCCGGGGCGAGCGAAGGCAGCGGGTGGGAGCCTGCGCGGGCACTGCGGAACGGGCCGGGGGAGGCCGGGATGGAGCCCCCCGGAGGTGGGCGCGCTGCCGGGCGAGCCCGCGCCTGGGGCAGTTGGGGAGGGGGCCGAATGGCGCGGGGAGTGGGGCTGGGGAGGAGGGCACCGGGGGCGGGGTCCGGTGCGGAGAAGCGGGCCTGAAGGCTGCGCTGGGCTGGGAGCTGAGGTGGGAAGGGCCTCAGGGATGCCCAGGGTTGACAATGCCGAGCTGCTGTGTTTTTCCCCCCAGTGTCTCTGTCTCTCCCCCAGCTTGTTCCCAGATGGTCGGAGGAGGGGGCGGCCGCCTGGCCTGGGGATCCGTGTGTCCTGAGTGGGATACTGAGCTGGCCTGCTCTCTCTCCAGTTGACTGAAGCGAGCGAGCCGAGTTCCAGAGCCTCAGGCGGAATCCAGGGGCCTCCTGGGGCTGCGGCGGATGGTCTGAGGGCCGCGCAGACATGGCTCACCTCAGGGGATTTGCCAACCAGGTGAGGGTTGGTTTCTGGGTTGTGCGCGCGCGTTCGCTGGTCCCCTGGGGCGAGAGCACTGACTGCAGAGTCCGAGGTCCCAAGGGGACATCTTATGGCACCAATAAGTATCTCTCGGACATCTGGGGTTTCAGAGGAGCCCTCCCCTCCAGGGTGTGTGGGATGAAAAGAGGAGCCTTTAAGAGGAACCTTGTGATGTACATGTGAGGGCGGGGGGGGGGGGGGCAGTCCTCAGGAGCTGCTCTGGGTGGGAACAGGGCTGCCTCGGGCTGGAGGCAGAAGCCCAGAGGCCTCTCACAGGGAACCACTTGAGGTCAGTGGCAGGTGTGCAGAGACCTGTCTCAGCAACAGGGCGGGGCAGGGCGGGAACCTGGATCTGCAGGGACAGCGAAGGTCAGAGTCCACACTGGAGGCTGGGCTGTGGTCATTCTGTCCGTGTTGGGCTGGAGGAGGGACTCTGGGGGACCCCTCCCTGATGGGCAATGAGAGAGGCGAATGTGATGAAGCAGCTGTCGCGTTCCAGTTGGCCTGTAGAGAAAGCAGAGGACACCTGTGTGAGCATTTTCATTGAGGGGAGGTGAGAAGGCTGGTCTGCAGAACCTGATTTGCCCAGGCTAGGAGTGCTGACCTGGGCGCTGCCTTCTGTCTGCTGTCTTTCTTCTTTGGTGGATTGGTTCTTGTATTTTGTGGCACCGGCTGACTTTGAGGGACCCTCTGTAGTGTGCCCTGAGTTTGCCTCGAAAGAGGACCTGCTGCCAGTGCCAGGAAGGGGGCTGTGTATGGGGACTCATGGTCTGTGCCTCCTCCCTTTTTTGTTATTTCAACGCAAATGTGATGTGATGCTGATTTGGAGTGGAGTAAACCACCTGGTGGCAGGTGTTCCTCTTGACGTGCTGGCTTGGGCTAATGCAGGCCAACTGCTGCAGTGTTGGGAGGAGCTCTGAGAAGAGTGATCCTGCTGCTTGCACCATGTGGGAATCCATGGGCACAGAATGCAGGAGGGTTCAGCTCCAGACACAGGCTCTTTGGAGAAACCTGGAAGGCCTCATGCAGCTGCTGGGCAGGGTATCGGGGTCCAGCAGGGGTCACAGATGGGAACCAGGGCTTGCTGACTGATGCCAACAGATTTTTCATTCATATCTGACATTGTGTATTTGGTAAAATTACATGACTAATGCTGGGAGAGAAGTCTGCCTCCGGCTTATTTTTAAGAGCTATAGGAATAGATCCTGTGGGTTCCAAAATGAGAAAGTGGAGCTGTGAGCTGCCTCTGTACCCATGAGCTGATGGTACTTGGTGCTCGGCCTGGGGTGTCCAGTCAGATCCAGGAGGGAGGGCGGGTGCAGAGGAGCTGAGAAAGGGACCCCAAAGGAAGGAAGCCCCCTTTGTCCTTTCAGGGCAGAGAGACTCGGCCTTTGTCAGTAGCAGGAAGCCTGACAAGACTGTTTTCTCTTGAGCCCCCTACAGCCTGTGCTCCTACCCTGCATTTCTCTTCACCTAGCCGATGGCCACCTGCCTGCAGGGTCCGAATGGCTGTGGGTGGTTACTGACTTCTCTTATTTTGTGGGGTGACACTAATGGCAGGCACACTGCCACATGGTGTACCCAGATCTGATAGCACCAGGGCTGACTCGGAGAACAAGAGTCTTGACCGCCAGTTAAATGACCTGAGTGATTGTCCAGACCCGTGGTCGGCAAACTGCTGCTCTCGAGCCACATGCGGCTCTTTGGCCCCTTGAGTGTGGCTCTTCCACAAAATACCTGGGTGAGTCTATTTTGAAGAAGTGGCGTTAGAAGAAGTTTAAGTTTAAAAAATTTGGCTCTCAAAAGAGATTTCAATCGTTGTACTGTTGATATTTGGCTCTGTTGAGTAATGAGTTTGCAGACAACTAGAGCTTGAACTTTAAGGTACAGAGGAACCTCCTGATTCAGTAGGTAGGGGGTGGGGCCTGAAGGTCTTGATTTCTAACAAGCTTCCCAGCAATGCAGACACTGCTGGTGCATGGGCCACACTTGGAGTGGCAAAGGGTTAGAGCACTGAGTTCGATCTTGGGACTTTGGCTAAGAGTGGTCACCACAGCCATTACCATCTTCCTCTTCTCCTTTCTGTCCCCTTTTCTTTTCCCTTCTGCTTTCCCCTCTTCTTCCTCCTTCACAGCTGTCACCACCACCTCAATATATTGAGCAGCTACCACGTGTTCCATCTCTAATCCCGCTGACAGCTGTATAAGGTGACAGATCTTCTGAGCCCGGGGTTTGTGTGGGTATATCTGATGGAGTCTGGGCGTGTCTGAGTCCCTAGGCATCTATCAGCACAGCTGATGTGCATGAAGGCTTGGCGCTTTTTGTTTCTGTATTTGAGCCCACGGAGGAAGGAAACCATTGGAGGGGGCCTGCAGAGGAGGGTGGAGGAAGATACAAATTTGCCGACGACTGGCCCAAACCACTACATCCCCTAGAAGGGCAGCCTGGGCCCCCGATGGGGAGCTGCTCGCCTTTCCTCCACCCTGGGGTGGGAATGGTCGTCCCGATTGCTTGTAGGGTCAGTATCATAGTCTGGACTATGCTTGTCACACCCTATCAGCTCAGTTGACTGACCTCCAGAGTATGAGAGTTGAGGGTTGGGGGTCCCCTCCATATTGAGCCGGAACCCTGGCTTAGGGGTGCTCTGAATTCTGCTCGAGGCTGCCAGGGATCCTTTGGGTGGCTGCGTGGACCAGATTCAGCTCTGGCGGGGAGTGCAGGGCGACACTGTTCTCAGCGGAGCGGAGGGTGTGTTATCAGCAGAGGCCTGAGTGTGGTTTGGGATGGGGGGCCGAGAGCTAGAAGGGCAGTGGTGACGAGGGTGCTGCCAGGCCTCAGTCCCACCTCTGGGTCTTAGGCCACCTTAGGAGAGGACTGTCCTTGCAGTGACAGAGGTCACAAGTCAGGGCACCAACTGGACTGTAATCACTGGGGGCTGGGTGTCTTACAGGGCTGCCCCAACAGGAGCTGGGGCTGGGGGCAAGCCTTCAGGGCACCATTAAGCTCTGTAGAAGGCACTGTGGGTCAGTGGGGAGGAGTGGGCAGAGAGGGCCCTTTCTGGACTACGTACATTCCACACGTGGCCAAGGCTGAGCAGGGTGCATGGAGGTTCCCCACCCAGGTCAGAGCCAGCTTTTTTTCCAGCAGGAAGGAGTGTCATGTTGATTGTCAAGTGGTTGGCGGTGTGGGCAATGCATTGATGAGGCTGTTCTCTCCAGCTGGGGTTGGTCCTAATCTTGTGATCCATGACCCCATCTCTCACCTTGAAGATGGCTGAGCAGCTGTGATTTGAAGCCACACACCTGTTAGGACATGTGAAGCAGGAGGAAGAGGCTGGGGCAGGCTGGGGCAGCCTGGCGTGAGGGACCTGTGCTGCCCTCTGCTTTCACTGTCCTGCCCTTGACCTTGACTTTGGGGATTTCTGGCAGCAGTTGGCTGCACGCATCTGCAGCTGTCTTCCTCCACATGCACTGGACTGCCGTTTCCCGTGAGGGAGTGAGAAGGGCCTCATTCCTTAACTGGCTGAGTGAAGGTGCCTGCTTGAGGCTGCATCCCCTGGCTTTGTCTGGCCTGCCTTATTGGGGAGGGTTCTGAATTGAGACCCTGCTTCTGGCCCCAGCCTCTGCAGTGCCTGCTTACCTATCACCTGCAGCTCTCTTCTGGCTTGCCTGGTACCCAGAATCATCTTTGTATGTCCCCTTCCTCCCAGGAACCCCAGGAAGGCAAGTAACTGGTAGTTTCTGATTGACATGTGGTCTCGGTCTGGAGCAGGTTGGGCCAGGCTGCAGCTCTGCCTGGGGGTGAGCACTCCCTCCCTGGGCTGGTGTCAGCACCTAGTGCAGCAGCGTGATTTTTGTCAGTGACATTGGCCCTGGTGTAGGTGCTTTGGTGTGGTGGGGTGGCCTCTTCAGAGGGAGGGGTGCCCTGCGGGATTTGAGTTCTAGGGGGCTTGGAAACCTTTCTGCCTCTGTCCAGACAAGGCTGCAAAAGGACATGTGGGTCGTGGGCACCTGGCTCCCTCGTCACTGGGCCTGCAGGGCCGGCCTTGGCCTTTTGAGAACATGGTCTGTGGAGTGTAATATTCTCAGGAGCCCAGGACGCCACATGGGCAGGAGCTGGGGGGTGCCCCGGGTGGTGCTGGCCAGCTCTCTGTTGTCACTGTCCTCCATGCAGCCCCTACACTGAGACTCTGAGCCCCTCTGCCAACCCTGTCCCGGGCACCATCTGCACTAGCAGCTCTGTACCTTTCAGGCCCTGTTTGTGTTTAAATCCGAGGGCCATGTGGGCAGTTTGCTGTGACACTTGAGTGTCCAGGGTCAAGCTCGGTGCTGGAGTGAGGGTGCAGCTTCCTGAGGGCTGTGTGGGGGTGGCGAAGGGAAGCCCTTTCTAAGGGGTGTGGCTGCCAGGTGAGTTCATGCACGCTGAGTGTTTTGTTTAAGAGAATTTTTTAGAGTAGTTTTTGGTTTACAGGAAAATGAGCAAGAGGTCTGGTCACTCCCCCCGGTGTTAGCATATTATTTATATCTTGCATTTGTGTGTTTGTTAAAATTGATGAGTCAACAAGGATACATTATTAACTCTGCCCATGGTGTTCATGTGGTATTATATCCTACAGGATGATATCACTGCCTAAAATCTTTATGCTTCACCTATTTTTAACCCATCTCTGTACCTCACTCGGTCCTCCCCTCCGGTGGGGGTGGGCAGTGGGTGTGACCTTTGTGGCCCCTCCACGTGCTCCACGCCTCCGCCCCTTGGCTGGAGCCAGGCCTCTGTGCTCTCTGAGGATCTCCCTGTGGAGGGTGCATTTTGGTTTCCTGAAACAAAAGGGACGAAAGAGGAAACTCAAAAAGACCTTGGGTGAGCTGTCCGCTGCTGGCACACGGGATCCCCACGTCCCCGCAGAGCTGCCCTGCGCTGACGGGCTGCCGCCTGTGTTCCTGCAGCACTCGCGTGTGGACCCCGAGGAGCTCTTTACCAAGCTGGACCGCATTGGCAAGGGCTCCTTCGGGGAGGTGTTCAAGGGCATCGACAACCGCACCAAGGAGGTGGTGGCCATCAAGATCATCGACCTGGAGGAGGCCGAGGACGAGATCGAGGACATCCAGCAGGAGATCACCGTGCTCAGCCAGTGCGACAGCCCCTACATCACCCGATACTTCGGCTCCTACCTGAAGGTGTCTGGGGCGGGGCCGCGCTCAGGTGGATGCCCAGGGTTCCCTGGGGCCGGGGCTAAACCCAACAGTCTCCGCACCTGCCCCGTATTGGAACAATGGGGAGGAGAGGCATGGCCTGACAGCGAGCATGGACACAGCTTCACAGTTGAGCAGACCCCAAAACAACCACCCAGAGGGCCCAGCGGGCGTTCGGAAGGCTCCTCTCATCCTGAGGGGGAGTCCTGGGAGAGGCAGGGCTTAAGGCTGAATCTGGATGGGCTGTATGACTCCCTGGCTGGGGTAGCCCCTATAGGATGGCATTTATGAGGCCCTATAGCAGAGCCCGGTGCCAGGTCGGGGGGCCTGCCCAGGGCACACTGTGGATACATCAAGGTCAATGCTAGCTGGGCAGCCGATTTCCCAGGCTAGTTTTTGATGGGCTGTTGCAGAGTAGACTTGGCTGCTTGTCTGAGCACATGTTCTATCTGCAAAGCTGCTGTCATAGGAGTGTGATGGGAGGGAGCCGGGTAAGGCTGCTGGATGCCTTGGAGGGCTCCCCACAGGCCGGAGCCCTGCCTGGGAGTATGTCATGGGGCCTGGGGAACCCCCTGCTGACTACCATGTACTGACCGGCATCTCTCTGGTCCCAGAGCACAAAGCTGTGGATTATCATGGAGTACTTGGGCGGCGGCTCCGCGCTGGACCTGGTGAGGTGTAGGCCGAAACAGTGGGCAGCTTGCCAGGGGAGGATCAGACCCAAGGGTGCTCTGGGGTTGTCCCACCTGTGTCCCTAGACTCCTTTCCTATACTATTTTGGCCGACTAAGCCCAAATGAAGTCCTATTTTTAGTCCCCACTGGTTGGTGCTGAGGATCCTGGGCATCTTCTGGCCTGGGGAGGGGGCAGGAGGGTTAGTGTCCCCAGTCATACAGGTTAGAATGTGCTGGGACCCCATTTTCATTGATTACCTTTACAGTGAAGGTGAAGGTATTGTATGTTCTCTAAAAACAGCCTCTTGACCCACACCTGAAACTTTATTTCCAAAGTGGTTAATGGAGTAGGGAGCCCTACTGTGCACAGGGTCACCCTCCCCTGGTGGTGAGGCGGTTGAGCCGGGGCCGTGGTGACTGGGGTGGTGTGGAAGGAAGGGCAGATTGGCCTTGGTGGAGGGAGTCTGAGGACCTGCTGTCCGGTCTGTGCACAGTTGAAACCGGGCCCCCTCGAGGAGACCTACATCGCCACGATCCTGCGGGAGATTCTGAAGGGCCTGGACTACCTGCACTCGGAGCGCAAGATCCACAGAGACATCAAAGGTCCCTCAGGGCATGGCTCCTGCCTGGGCCCCTGAGCTCCGCGACACTAGAAAGACCAGGGCATGAGGTGGCAGGTTGATATGGGCACGTGGATGGTGGTGCTAGGCATCTGGGATGTGGGGACTCTTGTAGCCCAGTGCCCACTGGAACCTGAGCACGGCCATCAGCTCGGGTGCCAGGAAACACAGCCAGTAACTGGTAGAACTTAGCACCATGTTTTCATATGGCAAAAACACCCTCTGTGCTCCTAATGTAAGAAGGGACCTATTTAAGCCAAAAGTGTACATTCTTTGCATCAGGTGTGGGCTGGTCCTGCTGAGTGTCTGACTGGAGACACTGGGGGAGTGAGGGAATCTGCATGTTTGGTGGTGGAGTGAGGGGGAAGCTCTACTGGTTAGGTGGTTTGGGAGGAAAGGGCAATTGCTGTGTTTTGGGGATCTGTCATAAAAGGCAAACTAAAGCGGGGTCCCGGAGCATGGGCTGGGAGTCTGCACAAGGTGGGCCCCTGGCTTGCTGGCATTGCCCTGTGGCCTTGGGTCTGAGGGTGGACAGATCTGCCCCATCTCTAGCCTGCTGGATGGAGGAGAGACAAGATGAGGTCCCAGGGACGGCTCTGCTGGTGTCCCAGGAGATCAGGTGGCTGCCAGCAGGCACTTCTTTTGCAGCTGCACATAGGATGGGGGTCTGTGTGGCTCAAAGGGTGACGCCCTGCCGTCCTGTGTTGAGCAGCTGCCAACGTGCTGCTCTCAGAGCAAGGTGATGTGAAGCTGGCAGACTTCGGGGTGGCGGGGCAGCTCACGGACACGCAGATCAAGAGGAACACATTCGTGGGCACCCCCTTCTGGATGGCACCCGAAGTAATCAAGCAGTCAGCCTATGACTTCAAGGTGGGCACAGCAGGCATGAGGGTGGCTGCAGCAGGGCTCAGGGTGCCTCTGGTGGCAACTGTTCTTTGTGGCTCTGTCCAGGCCGACATTTGGTCGCTGGGGATCACAGCCATCGAGCTGGCCAAGGGTGAGCCTCCGAACTCTGACCTCCACCCCATGCGTGTCCTGTTCCTGATCCCCAAGAACAGCCCGCCCACGCTGGAGGGCCACCACAGCAAGCCTTTCAAGGAGTTTGTGGAGGCCTGCCTTAACAAGGATCCCCGCTTCGTAAGCCTTCAGGCCCCTGGCTACTGGGGTGGGCTAGGACCGTTCAGTCCTCTGGGAAGGTCTGTGGTGGGAAATGGGAGGTGACAGGGCCCTAGGCCCCGCCTTGTTCAGGGTCTGGGGAAGCTCTAGGAGGGTTTTGGCCCCGAGCAGATAGTGGAGCCCAGCCCCAGCTTCCTGGTTGCCCTCCCCCGGAACCCCTCACTGGGTCCAGTCAGAGAGCTTGATGGCCAGGCCTGTTCCCAGCCTGGCTGGCTGAAGTCCAGGCGCCAGGAGTTTGAAGGACGAGCCCAGCCGCCCTCACCCTGTGATGCCTGCCCACTCCCCTGCAGCGGCCCACCGCCAAAGAGCTCCTGAAGCACAAGTTCATCACGCGATATACCAGGAAGACCTCCTTCCTGACCGAGCTCATTGACCGCTACAAGCGCTGGAAGTCCGAGGGGCACGGCGAGGAGTCCAGCTCCGAGGACTCGGACATGTAGGTCTGCTTGTCGTCAGGGCTTCTGCTCTGGGCTGTGATGTGCGAGGGGTCCCTGCTCCAGGGCAGGAACTTGGGTGCTGGCTTCTGAGGAACTTGGTGGCCACTTGGCGCCTGCAGCCTGAGCAAGGCCCCTACCCAGCATTTAGGGCCGTGAGGATGCCTCAGAAAGTAGTGGGGAGGGGGTGCTTGGGATCCCTCCTGGTCCTCCCTCAGGGCACTCTTGACTTCATTCTCCTCTGCAGAGATGGAGATGCTGAGGACGGAGAACAGGGCCCCATCTGGACGTTCCCTCCAACCATCCGGCCGAGCCCGCACAGCAAGCTGCACAAGGGGACGGCCCTGCACGGCCCCCAGAAGGTGCGGGCCCCAGGCCCCGGACCTGCATGTGCTGGGAGGGTACCTTGTGCTTCTCAGATTCTGCATCTCTCAAGGAGGCTGGGAATGGGGTCAGGGTGGAGCACACCTGCCCTGGGCACCCACTTGCCTCTGCCTATTCACCTCGCTGTGGCCTTGCTTTTGCAGTCTGTGGAGCCCGTCAAGAGGCAGCCGCGATCCCAGTGCCTGTCCACGCTGGTCCGGCCTGTCTTTGGAGAGGTGAGGGCTAGGCTGGGGGTTCTGTGGGGCATGGGGCTGCAGTGCCCAATATACAGGGTTCCAGGTCCCTTGGAGTTCAGAATGGTTTAACTGTTGGCCAGGCTTTGTAGCAGCAGGACTGGGAACAGCTGAGACTGACTGCCCTAACATGGTCCTCTCAAGTCCCCTTGCCCTGCTGGGGGCCCCAGAATGGCTTTGAATTACAAACATACAGGGTGACCAGAAGCATCCTGAGGTCTAGTTCTTGCTTCATGGCAATTGACCCTGTATCTGTGTCACCTGGATGGGAGTATGATGCAGCCGAGAGCCCTTAGAGTGATCACTTTCTACCCTGGAGTGAAGGCAGCACCTGGAATCCAGGGAGGGGGACAGCATACAGCAGAGTCTTCCCGAGGAAGGTGGGGGCGTCTGGACAGGGCAGAAGCCTGGAATTCGAGGGAAGGAGGTTGGATGGAGCTGGTTGTCATGGACCCTGCGGGAAATTATGAGCTCAGCTTAAATACTTGGATTAGAAGCTGGGCCCCACGTGGGGCAGGGCCTGGGGATGCCTCAGGTGTTGGAGAGGCAGGCAGGACTACCATATCCCAAGCTGCTTGGAGCATGTGTGTGTGTGTGTATTTGCGGGGGGTTGGAGCGGGGGAGGTCTGTAGGCTGCTGTGGCCTCCACAGTGAGCCCAGTGGAGAGGCAGAGCCCCACCCAGGCTGGCAGGGGCATCCCTTAGGGGTCCTGACCCTGTAAGCTGGGCCTGAGGTCTGGGCTGCCTGGTGGAGTGAACTGGGACACATGCAGGCTCTTCCTCATGTGTGTCAGTGTCAGGATGTGGCAGGGAGGGCCGTAACTGCTCCTGCCAAGTCAGCGGTTCCCGCAGCATGGAGGCTGAGGGGGGTCAGAGCAGGTGGTCTGGCTGTGCAGTGCACTCTGGGAGTTAGTTTCTGGGCTGTTTTCTCAAGTCCGTTGGACCTGAGCCCTGAGCTGTCACTTACAATTGGAAGTCCTGTGGTTAGCTGGGCCCACCACAGCATGGGAGGCTGGTTGTACCCAGCCATCCTGGCTTTCTGGTGGAAGGACCGTGAGTGGGGCCCCCAAATGCAAGTCACAGGAGAGGGCCTGAGGGTCTTCAGTGTGAGCCTCTGACCAGGCGCATGGCGGTCTGTCCACAGCTGAAAGAGAAGCACAGGCAGAGCGGCGGGGGTGTGGGGGCGCTGGAGGAGCTGGAGAACGCCTTCAGCCTGGCCGAGGAGTCCTGCCCCGGCATCTCTGACAAGCTGATGGCTCACCTGGTGGAGCGGGTGCAGAGGTGAGGGGGAGCTGGGGTGGGACCCAGGATGGGTTGTAGGGGTCACTCTGGAAGAGGATCTCTGCCTCTCTTCCTTTCTGTTTTGTAGTTTCAGGGCTGGAGAGAGGAGGGTGGTCTTTCCTGCCAGTGGGCGGTGCCCCCTTCGTCTCCCAGCCTGCTCTGGGCTGCTGACCTCAGCCCACGCCACCTGGTAGCTTCCCGTGGGCCTGCACTGGAGCCTGGGTAGTGATGGGGCCTTTCTCCTCTAGGTTTTCACACAACAGAAACCACCTGCCGTCCACCCGCTGAAGCTGCTGTTTGTACAGAGGGGAGAGAAGGGTCTTGTTTTGAGCTCTGTACAGACTGCTGACTTGGAACCTCTTGTGGGACAAGGCCCCCCCCCCCCACCCTGTGCTGAGGGCTGTCCGCTTCCATTTCCTCCCGGCCTGGCTGAGGTTACCTGGCAGCAAAGACTCATGGAGAACTGTGCAGCCTGGAGACGGCAGGTGCAGTCTCCTCAGCTCCCCTTGGCATAGCCGCCCCCTCCTTGGGCTCACAGGATGGCAGCCACTGGAACTGAGGTGGGGAAGCTGTTGGGCAGGTCAGCCTTCTCCCCACTCACCCAGGCCCCCCCGTCCCCACCCAGGGCCCACGTTGGCCCACAGTGGTTGTCAATTTGCCTTGTGGTGTTGGATCGGGTACCGTGTCTTCTCAAAGTAAGAGTGTCAGCCAGGATGTTTCTTTTGTTTAAGAAAACCGAACTTCCTTGTTTCCCCTTATACTCTGAGGTTAAGGTGTTAGTTTTCATAGGATATTGAGAGGCTCTGCCACTTTCAATAAAGACCTTAAATGAAGACGGACTGGTGGTGGGTGGGGATCCGGGCCAGGCAGGGTCTCGACAGCCCTGTCTCCCCCTTGGAGTGTCCCGAGACTGAGCAGGCAGGCGAAGAAAGATGCCCTTTATTTCAGCCACACACACAAGCAGGTGTACCTCGACTTCCACTTGTTAAGAAAAACTGGGTGCTAATAAATTAAAGGCCCTCGCCCTACCAGGGCCAGACGGAACTTTGGCTTCCCCTTCTCCAGAGGTATGTGAGGTGGGCCCCAGAGTGGCTTATGCTGGGCTTTGTGCAGCTGTGACCTGAGGCTTGTGCCTTACCCCTGGTTGATCCAGGCTGAAGGACAGGGCAGCCAAGCCCGGGTACAGCAGTGGGTGATTTGGAGCCACCCTAGTTCCTGCTCCCAGCCATTTCTCAGCAGGGCCCTGTTCTAGAAGAGGAGAGGGCAGGTGAGCACCAGCTTGGTGCCACCCTGGAGCTGGACCTGCATTTCCACTTTGGTGTTCTTGCCAGGGACCCACGGGGTCAACGGACTACACTGGGTCTTCAAGGGAACAGTGTCCTTCCCAGATGTCATGGTGAGGCCCCCCCATACAGCTGGTCCGTTGTTGGGAAGACTCAGGATGAGCAGTCATGCGCTGACTGTGCTTTGCTTCCTGAGCGCTGTCCTCGACTAGGCAGAATGGGCTTCATGCCTCCTCAGGGCCCCCAGCCTTTCCGGGCGAGCTGCTGGCTCTCTCAATCACCTCCATCCACCTGCAGAAGGAGTTGTCCCATGAGAAAGCCCAGGATGCCCGCTTGGGAAGGAAGGCACTTTCTGGCCACCTGACAGTGGGCTTGTGCTCAAATACCTTCCCAAAATGTGGACAAGACAAGGCCAGTGAAAACCCAGGAAGCCAGGTGCAGCCCTTTCTTCCCAGCACCAGGAACTTGCCTCCAGCCCGTCCACCACAGTTACCTCCCAAACGTGTACTTGCTCTCGGCCCGGAAGAAGTAAACGTGAGATTTGAACTGCAGCTTGAAGACATGCTCCTTGTGGATGCCATCAGCCTCCCTGGGGACGCTCACACTGTAGCCCAGCAGGGGGAGGCTGGCCAGGGGATAGTCATCCTAGAAGGCAGCATGGTTCCATGGGGATTCCCCAGCCACCTCTCCCCTCCCCCCCTCCCCTGGGGGAGGGGAGGAGATTCCGAAGTGAGAGAGCAGGGCATGGTGGGCCCTCCTCTAGCGCCACGGGCAGGCTACCCCGGGCCCTGGTAAGCACCCTCACCTGATGTGTTTTGTAGAAGAACAAGCAGAAATTGGTGAAGACCACCCAGAGCTTCTGCCAGCCATTACTGTTTTTGAACTTTCTTAGCAGATACCCTGAAAGCTGATTCTAAAAGGAAAAAAGCAAAAGTGCTTTAGTTAAGGTCCCAAGACCACAGCCCATCAAGAGCAATTACCCTCCTGGCTCCATCCTTTTGGGATCTCCTGGGAGCAGGTGTGCTCCCCAAGAATACAGCCAGCTTCCCCCCCCCCCCCCACACACACACCTACAATCCTCACAAATGCCCTCACACAGGGAGGATGCTGTAACCATAGCCCAAGCTGTGCCCCTGGGCAGCCTCAGGACTGGGCTGCTCTTGTGCCGAGGTAAGTCGGGAGCCGTGGCCTAGGGCAGACCCCTCTCTGCAGTGCCCCCTCCTTCTGCACCCCCACCCTCCTTGGTACCACACTTCTTTCTTATAACCTCACCATGAGGAACACAGGTTCTGACATCTGTGGCCTTCACCACCGAGCAGGCACCCACAGGATAGCACAGAGGGCTGAGCTGCTCAGGCTCAGGGGACCCTTCTGTTCACAAGCGCCCCTGAGAGGTGTGTGTGGGGGGTGCTCCTGATGGTGGAGGTGGAAGCAGCGACTCCTAGTGACAGGCCCTGTTGGGAGCACCCTGGAGACACCAGTTTCCCTGTTCTTCCCCACACACGTGGCTCTGAGTTTTTTGCTCACTGGGTTGCTCAAGTCTTGAGGGTGACTGTCACTCCACAGCTCTGGCAAAAACCCTGGGCTGCTGTGCCTGAGGGGACTTTTCCAAGCCAACTTCCTGCCCAAAGAGAGAGCGGGAGGCAGCTCGCCATGGCCTGGCCCAGGCCTGCCGCCCAGCAAGCACAAGCTGAGAGGGTGTTTGTGTGAGTTATACCTCAACGGCTGCGCTGTGGTCGGCTCTGGAGACACTGGTGTTCCGGTACCAGCACACGTGCACCGTGGTGTTGGCCCGGTGCTGGCCCTGCCCCTCCGAGGAGCTGTGGGCACCATGTGCATCATCTTCTGACTCCTGCTCCACAGAGACTTCATCAGAGGGTCCTGGGGGAGAAATCGGGCATCTGCTCAGAGGGGATAGGACCACCCTGGTGAATGGAGCCCTGAGAGCAAGGGAGCTATCCCTCTGTGCCCAGGCCAAGAGCAAAGCCCACCCTTCTACCTGGAACTTGAGCACGTGGGCTTAGGGACAGAACATGAGCGAAGAAACAATTTATAGGAAAGCTTCCTCCGTGCAGGGGTTCTCAGAACTCACTGCGGGGAGGAATGCACACTGAGCTGCCTGGCAGAGCCAGAGTTGTGTTGCCACTGCTCTTCGCCGCTTCAATGGCATTGTTCAGGTCATGCATCCACTTCTCCTTTTCCAGCCGAGTGCTGTGGGGAGAGGAGGGACGTGAGGGAGGGCTGAGGCTCAGGGCCTGCACAATCTCTGAGGGGACAGGAGGCGCAGTGCCAGGCCATAGCGAGCTGCCTCCCGCTCTCTCTTTGGGCAGGAAGTTGGCTTGGAAAAGTCCCCTCAGGCACAGCAGCCCAGGGTTTTTGCCAGAGCTGTGGAGTGACAGTCACCTTCAGAGTCATCCTGTCTCAAGGGATCAAAGGATGATCGGGAATGCTGCTGCTGGTGGCCCAGCCTGCACCCCTCTGTGGGCTGCCAGGGCCAGGAGGAGGGAGGGCAGCACCTGTGTGTGGACTGAAGTTCTCTACAGGGTAGTTTTCTCCTAAAACAAGGTTTTAAAAGTCTCAGGTACAAGATTGGTTGCTTCCTGGATCACCATTTCCTGGTGGGAGCTAGTGGATGCCTGCTCAAGAGAAGGGTAAACTGTTGGGAGTCACTTGGCTCCTCCAGGGGAGGGACAGCACAGCATGGTGTGGACAGAGGTCGGGCTGCCCCTCTGTTGATCTGATGTGGAACAGGGGAAAGTGGCCATCTGCCCCTGAGCTGTGGCCCATCAGCCTCGCTGCACAGCTAGGGGCCAGGACCAGGTGAGGAGGGGCCCCAGCCTGGCCGCCCTGTCGTTCTGCCACTAACCCGCTGGCACTGCGCCTTTACTTGAGCGTGCCAAAAGCTTGTGCCCCTGGAGACCGACAGTCTTCGCAGGCCTGTTCTTGTGGAGGGCCATGCACTTGAGGCGCAGGAAGCAGTTTGGCAGTGCCATGGCCAGTCTGTGGGACGTTCTCTGGCTCCCCACCACTGGAGAGCAGTGCTCAAGGGGCACACATCACTCCGAACTGTGGGAGTGACACTCATCACTCAGAGGGAACTCTAGCTCATGGCAGGGAAGCCCCTACTCCTGGCTCCCAGGGCCCACTGGGATCCAGGTGTGAAAGGTTCTTACCTGGCTGCCACCACGATTGTTTTTTGAGCTGCATAAATAGTAAAACAGTGTGGAACGGACCACTCACTCTTGCTTTCTTCTACCTGTGGGTGGGAGAAGAGGTAGAAGTCTGGGCCAGGTGCGGGGCTGGCTGACACAAGCTTGAAGCATAACACAGGTGACGTGAAAATTCTGTGCTGTCCAAGTCTACGCTGACTCTACAAGGGGCTATGGGAGGCATAAGGGGTCCCCAACCATGGCACCTGCCACCCAGGTGGGTAAGCTGTGGGCCACAGGGCACCCAACTACTCACCGGTGGGTCCAGTACTATTAGCTGAAAATCAAGCACAGGAGAAAGTGTTGAGCATTGTCATTATTAAATAGGGAGTTGGACAATTCATTTTATAAACTTGGTACCAAAACCTAACGAAGTTAGATTCAAAAAACCAATACAGAGTAATCTCAGTTATAAATAACTAAATGAAAAAACTTAAAAATAAAATATTCCTAGCCAAGCCTAAAAGCAGACAGAAACTATCCTGTGACCAAGTAAGGTTGTTCTAGGAATGCAAGGATGGTTTGACATTAGGAGGTGATAATAGCGATAACTTTGTCACAACATCAAAGGGAAAATAGTGATCATTTCTCTAAATGCTCAAAAGAACTTTGCTAAAGTCCATGATGTTATTTCTGATATTTCTTTGAATCAGAAAGAAACTTAACATGATAAAGGTTCTCTTTCTCAAGCCAAGAGTCATTATCCTTCCCTAGGTTCAGCCAAGTTACACCTCACCCCATAGAACAGACAGCTTCCCTGTGCAGGGCCTACAGGATGCCAACCACGGAGCCTTACATTGGACATTCAAAATCTAAAATTAACATGGGCAATGACCAGTAGCAGGAGGTTGTCAAGATGTTAGTATTCCCCCAAGTTAATATGTAATTTTAAAGTTAATTGGCATATATCACTTCCATCAGCAACAGACCGTATATATGACAGTGGTCCCATGAGATTATAATAGAACTGAGAAATTCTTATCACCTAGTGGTTATAATGTGCTAGCACCGTGGTCGGCAAACCGCAGCTCACAAGCCACATGCGGCTCTTTGGCCCATTGAGTGTGACTCTTCCACAAAATACCACGGCCTGGGTGGGTCTGTTTTGAAAAGTGGCATTAGAAGAAGTTTTAAGTTTAAAACATTTGACTCTCAATAGAAATTTCAATATCAAACTGTTGATATTTGGCTCTGTTGACTAATGAGTTTGCCAATCACTGTCCTACTACAACACATTACTCATGAGTTTGTGGTGATGCTGGTGTAAATAAACCTGCCACCAGTCATATAAAATATAGTAATACAGTTATGTATAGTATGTAATACTTAATAAACTATGTCACTGGTTTATGTATTTAATATACCGTTATTTTCATCATTGTTTTAGAGTGTACTCTTCCTATGATTAAAAAGCAGTTTGTTATAAAACAGCTGTGTTATCGATACATCGGTGGCACCCTCATATATCTTGTATTTACCGTGTCTCATAATGTCATCATTTTCTCTTGTGCTTGATTTAAAATCATGTTTTATAAATTGAGGGTAGCCTCAGTGTACAGGGTTTATAAAGTCTACTGTTGTGTGCAGTGATGTCCCAGGTCCTCACGTTCACTCACTGTCCACTGACTCACCCAGAGCAACTTGCAATCCTATAATCTCTATTTATTGTAAGTGCTCTATTCAGGTATACCATTTTTTATATTTTTTTCCACTTTTATTTTTTTTTTACTAAAAATATATTTTATTGATTTTTTTACAGAGAGGAAGAGAGAAGGATAGAGAATCAGAAACATCGATGAGAGAGAATCATCGATCAGCTGCCTCTTGCACACCTCCTACTGGGGATGTGCCCGCAACCAAGGTACATGCCCTTGACCGGAATCGAACCTGGGACCTTTCAGTCCGCAGGCCGACGCTCTATCCACTGAGCCAAACCGGCTTCGGCCACTTTTATTTTTAATACCGTATTTTTATAGTATCTTTTCTATGTTTAGATACACAAATAACATGGTGTTATAGTTGCCTACAGCATTCAATACAGTAACATGCTGAGTAGGTTATAGCCCAAGAGCAACAGCCGTGTCACACAGCCAAGTGTGTAGTGGGCTGAGCCACTTCAGTTTGTGCAGGTGTGCTCTGACATTCACATGACAAAATCACAGCATGGCACATGTCCAAAACGTATATCCCCATCATTATATGGCATATGACGACAATACAATTTCAAGAGAAATCTCAATGGTGTTTTTTAAATGAATCTGTCCAAATTATTAAAAAAATTATCGGAAGAATTAAATACGTAAGAATAGCAAAAAAGTTTTTTAAAAAGGACAAATGAGGGATGAAACTTATTCTCCTGACAGTGACTGTAACATATAACATCCCAAATTAGAAAAGTGTGGACTGATGAGAAACACACAAAATGCCCAGAAAGAGCCCAAGTGTGAAAACAAGGGCTGTTTGTATGGTCAAGGCAGCTTTCGAAATCAGAATATGAAGGGTCCAATGAATAAGGGGAAAACTGATTATATGGGCAGAAAATGAGTCCCAATCTAATAACATCCAATGAAATATTTTAGGTAGATTGAGAAAAATGACATCATAAATGTACCAGAAAACAAGAAGTCCCCACACCATGGCACAAGGTGCCAATATAACCTTGGCATGGGAGGGACTTTTTGAGCCCACACCAAGGACAGGAAAAGATGGCAGATCTGACTATAGAGTCTTAAGTTCACTCCCTCAGCAAGACTGTGCCACAGACTGTTCTAGGAACAAGACAAACACAATCCCTGTCCAGATGGGTTTCAATTCTACAAGGTAAAACCAAACTGCGGGCAAAGTAAAAAGGCGTTACTAGCTGGGGAAAGCTTTTCTGACGTGAGGGTTGGCTTGCCTCTTATTAAGTTATTATATTTTGTGACAGTTATTACTGTCACAAAAGTGCATGAAAAGCTAACATCATGCAGACCAGAGTGATAGGCATGAATGCCTCCTAAAGGGAGTGCCAGGAAACAAGGACCCAGCCAGCCTCACTGACATCCCAGGGCTGCTCCACTGGCCAAACTGGAAAAGATGAGGGTGAATCCCCAGTGCTCCCCAGGCCGTGCAGACGGTGCAGCCTCAGATGTGCTCAGTGGATGGTCCACTGGTGCAAGTGCTCCGACAGCCACGGAGCAGCAACACTCACTGGAAATGGCACCCTGCGTCCAAACAACGCCTTTTGGGATTTATTTCAAGGATGTGGTTGAGGTGTGAAGAGGCACACAATGGTGCTATTTCTAATTCTGAAATGCTAGATGCAGCTGGAATGTGCAGAATAGCGAATCAGTCAAGTCAATGGGCTGGCTCCCCACTGTGCGTTCATCTCCTCTCACCTCCACTTGAGGAGGTGGTGGAAGCACAGAGGACACAAGGGCACGTTCATGACGCATCACTAAACAAAACGGTGCAGGCCACAAAACAGCTTGTAAAAGTGAGTCCACTGTGGCAGCAAAATACCTCGAATGACACGTGAAGCTGGAAGGGTCTTTTGCAAAATTCCAATAGTGCTTATTGCTGGATGGTAAAATTATGATTAATTTTCATTTTATATTTTCAGTTATTTTTTTCTATAATGAAAGATTATGAAAATGGGGAGGTCTGCTTCCAGTAATGGCAGGTGAGCTCTTTCAAACTGATCCTCCTTGCTGAGAGTGGAGGGACCCTAAGGGCCAGGAAAGGCAAGACACCCTAGGAGACCAGTGCGTGCAGGACTGCTCCGAGCTGCACAAATCGAGACAGCAGGCCAGACACAACAGCGCAAGGCATGATCGGATCCCAGCCAGGGACACCTGGAGGGAGGCCTGGGGGGGGCCTCAGGGAGAGAGACTCGCTGCAATCAGATGCTCTGGATCCATGGCACCTCTGAACGTGGCCTCCTATCTTTACCGTTCCTAAATGTGGGTTCCAGGCTGAGTGCACACTTACACGCAAATGAAGGTCTCTCATCAGGCCATAGAAAGTACTGACCACAAAGGAGGCAGCTAACAACTGAATTACATTAAAATGAAGAATTTCTGTTCATCAGAATTACAAGTGTCATGTTACAGCTGTGACAGTAGGGATGGGGACACGCTGAACAAGTGCCCTGGTTGCTCCCTAGCTGTCCGGAAGGAAGCCAGGCATCTAGAAGATATCCAGTCACCCAGTCTAATTAGCGTATTATCCTTTTAATAGTATAGATAATCCTCACCCAAGGATACCACGGATATATTTTAGAGAGAGGAAGAGGTGTATGTAGGAGAGAGATACATCAATTGGTTGCCTCCTACACACACCCTGATCGGGCGTTGAACTTGCAACCTAGATATGTGTCCTGACCAGGAATTGAACCCACAAACTTCTGGTATGTGGGACAACACTCCAACCAACTGAGCCACCTGGCCAGAACACATCTGACTGTATTAAAGCGGGGTGTGTATCCGTGTGTGTGTGTGTGTGTGTGTGTGTGTGTGTGTGTGTGATAACTAATGATGCCATGCAGGACCAAAATTGTCAATATAAAAGATACAAATCGAAGAAGTAGAAACGCTACAGTCTTAAGATGTGGGGGTTTGGTTTTGTCTTTCAAAACCTGTGTCAGCTCCTACGCCTCCAGCAGCTAAGTGGCCCCAGCGCCTGCCTGGGGTCTTTCATCGCACCTCCCACTCTGGAGGGGCAGGTGGACAAGGTGAGTTGGGGGCTTGTCCTGCAGGTGCTGGTGGTGGTCCCAGGGTTGAGTCTGGAGGGGCTGCAGGGCAGCTGTTTGAACACCAAAAACAATAACCACAACAGATAGAAAGACCAACAGGTGCTTTAAGGTAGCCAGTTGAATCCCAGCACTCACCAGCATGCCATGAAGCGGGAGGAGGCCCCGGATCCGGAAGTGGCTGGTTCCCGAGACTCCTCTGCTTGTGTACAGCAACATATCTGAGAACTGAGCCAGGCAGCTTTAGATAAATCATTTAAAAAACAACAGGGTTGGAACTGTCAGATGAACTTCAACTCTAAGGGCTCTATGATGTTATCAAGTCTATTCAGCTTGCTGGAGATTTCTGGTGCAAAAGGGACTTTTATTTCATTCAGACAATTGTTTTTTACTAGAAGCAACTAGTAACCACACAAACCAGCAGACGTCCTTGGCCCAGTCACCCCTCATACGGGATGCTGAGGTCTGGATGTAACTGGATTTGAAGAAGAAGTGGGTGATAGGAAAGCTGGTGGCAGCAGGGACTGACTGAGAGGGCCTCAGCTCCCAGAGTCAAAGCCGGAGAGCAAGACCCTGCGAGCTGGCAGCTCAGCAGGGCAGACACCCCTGCAGTCACAGGCCCGTGAATTTTCTAAGCGCTGGCTTTGCTCATCCACAGACAGAATCAGGACGGCCGCTGGCCTAGAGTGTGTTCTGTGACCCTCACTTGGCTCCTGTCTGACTCTGAGGCTGCCTACCTGGCCCAACGCGCTGGCATAGCCCCCCTAACACGACTGCTGCCCATCCACCTACCAGAAAGAACATTCTCTGCTGCAGGCCCTTCCTGGTGAGCTTGTGAAGGCAGCCCTCACGGATGAACTCCTGAAAGACAGCATTGAGGTCTGCATTGCGTGGGCCCACAGCCGCCTCAGCAGACAGCACGCTGGCGGGGCTGGGCTGGGCTGGGGCTGGGGCCGGGGACTGGCTGATGTTATCATGTGTGCTTCTCTGAGCCCTTGGGTGAGCCCCTCACAGCCCCATCCAGCGCTTCACCGGGGCCCTCCTGCCCCGATGTTCAAGGACCTTCCGCACCTTTCCGCCTTCCTCCTTCCTGTCTGCTCCTCACGGTCACCCGGGGCCGGTCTGGGCGCCAGTTAACTCAGTCTCCAAACCATCTGCTGAGCACCCTACAGCTGGCCGGCTACACTAGGCTGTCATACAAAGCAAGGCGTACTGCTCTTATTGAGAAGCTTCTGGAAAGTTCAGCCATGGTGACGAAGCCATGAGTTCCGCATTGAGGAAAGCTGAGTTGCACACGTTGAAAGGGTGAATTCTGTGGTAGGTGAGTTATTTCTCAACCAAAACAATGAAGTAACCAGCTCAGAAACCTTTTGAGTCACTTACCCTGCCTGGAGCGATGAGGTTCTCTATGCCAACCAAGTCCCGCTGCAGCTCCGTCAGCTTCTGGAGGTTCTCCAGGCGGACGAGGCTGTGCTGTAGTATGGAGGTCACTTCCGTGACGGCCTGGAGGGCATCTGTGTGGAGAGACCCCTCAACACCGGCACCAGGCCGGCGGGCACAGACAGCCCTGTTCCCCCGCTGGCACCACTTGGCGATAGGAACTGGAATTTTATTTTTTTAAATCCTCACCCGAGGACATGCTTCTATCAATTTCAGATGAGAGAGGAAGGGAGAGGGAGAGAAACACAGGTGCGAGAGTGAAACATCCATCAATTGCCTCCCATACTTGCTTTGACTGGGGACTGAACTTGAAACCTGGGTATATACCCTGACTGGTAATCAAACCAGTGACCTTTCGGTGTAAGAGAAGATGCTCCAACCAGCTGAGCTACAGTGGCCAGGGTAGAACTAGCATTTATCTATTTTTTATTAAAAATATTTTTATTGATTTCAGAGAGGAAGGAAAGAGAGAGAGAGAGAGAAACATCAATGATGAGAGAGAATCTTTGGTCAGCTTATTTCTACACAACCCCTACTAGGAATGAAGCTTTCAACCCAGACATGTGCCCTGACCAGAATCGAACTGCAACCTCCTGGTCATAGGTCAACGCTCAACCACAGCCATACCGGCTGGGCCAGAACTGGCATTTAAAAAGGCAGTTTTAATTCAAGGAACATTCTACTCCAACTCCACCCATAGCCATGGCGCAAGTTCCCGCAGATGAACCAAAACTTGAATTTGTTCAGCCCCAACTACTGACTACCAACACTCAGATGTGCTCAAGAGAAAGAACAGTCTTTCTTTGTAAATAACTAATGTTACAGGCAAAGCAGTATTTGTTCTTTAGGGAAAATCACTTACTGTAGTTTAAAGTCTAAATAATTTGCATCTTCAAAGTATTTGCAATTTTCTCCTTGAATGGAGGTGCAGATGCTAATCCTATAGTTCAAGCCAAGTTATGAAAATTTAGAATCAAGGAGGAAAACATATTCAGATGAAACACAAACTCAGATATTGAGAATGGTCTTCAGAGACCTGACCAAGACACACTGGGAGCAGCTGCTTGGCCAGATTGGCCCCACTCCCCACAAGCAGGGACCACATCTTCCTTGACTTCTTGTTTCAACCACTGATGGGGGCCTGCTATCTTCTCATGAGGACCCCGCTGACTGCCTGCCCACTGCCCCTCGAGGTCCCAACAAGCACAGGTGACATCCACCCCACCCAACTCTGCGCCTTCTCAGCTCCAGCTCCATGAGTCTGGTTAGTGGAGGTCTGTGAGTGCTGGCTCCCCAGTACCTGACCCGAAGCTTTAGGAGGATGAAGTCAGACAAGGGGAGATGATTTACTCATTCACAAATGAGCCATTATAAGAGCCCTGGTGATGCTAACACAGGGCGGACACCTGCAGTTGCTCTGTGCAGACTCCTGAGCTCTGGCCCCTCTCTTGCCTCGCAGGCCCCAGGGCCCAGCTCAGATCTGAGTGACACACTGTTGACAGAGACTCTTCCTTCTGCTTGTTCACTGGAGGCTGTCTGGCCCCACATGTCTGCCCTGGACACTGTGTGTGCATGGAGTGCAGGGCTGGAAGGTTTGACTGCCATGTGGGTGCCACATTGCCCTTGGGCTGGAACTATAGAAGCTGCCAGATGCTGGGGATGTGCTTCGGACACAGTACCACCCCGTGCCTGAGTCTCCACGGAACCAGCATGATTTTGACAAACCATCAATACACACTTAGCACCTGGCCAGCCCAGGCACAGCCCTTGGGAAACCCTTATTGAATGAAGGATAAAACTAAGATGCAAGGCCATCTTCTCTAAGTCCCAACCTAGAGGTTTCTCCTTTTGTCCAACAGGTTCAAGTTCAACTCTTGGGAAGACCGAAAGGGCTGGTAACATCTACACCCCAGGGGGCCTTCTTCCTTGGCCCTGTGAGTGGGTGGGTCGTGGTGGGAAGGGACTCCACCAGCTGAGCCCTCCAGAGACGGCTGAAGCAAACCCGTCCAGGTGCCAGTTGTTGGCACCATGTTGGGTCAATGATTTACAAAGCATTTCCACAAGTGCAGCCTCGTTTAGCTTTTGTATCAGCCCATGAGATGGCTTTACTGATGAGGGACCTGAGTAGTGAGGGCACCCGGCCCTCTCCATGGGCCTGGCCCCCCAGATGTCCTGGAGAGGGGCCACCCTCTCCTCCTAGCACTGCCCCCTCCCCCACCCCCCCGCAGGAAAAGGCTGGCAGAGGCCAGCATGGCGGCATTTTAAATGTGCTGCACTTTTTTATTTCCCTGAAAATGCTTAGAAATATTTTCGACAATTTTGTCTTTTCCTTTGTAGCAAACAGGAAACACTTGCTTTTAAAATGAAGAAGAGAGTAATCCATTTTGTTTCTCATTCATCAGAAAGCATCTTATTTATACCCATTTATGACTATGGGAGACCAGCTAGACGTAGTGCTAATCTTTTATCTTACTTGTAATGATGATGGTGAATTTACTTGTAAAATCCTACAGTGAGTAACTTCATGCATTAAATTTATCCTACGACTAGAGGTGATATTGTAGGTTAAAAAGGTCAGGGTTTATCCTTTTGTTCCTTTAACACACACACAAAAAAATGACAAAGTCCATCTATGACAGAAACTTCTAACAGGCCACCCCACCCTGGCCCAAATGTTTGAGTTTTAGCGTCAAGGCTTGCAGAACAGAAATACCTCCAGGTAGCAGTCCCTCTAGGGGTCATTCCACCCCCACTGCACTCGTGGAGGCTCCTCCCGGACGATCCGAGCCCTTCACTCGGAACCAGCATGATTTTGACAAACCATCAATACACACTTAGCACCTGGCCAGCCCAGGCACAGCCCTTGGGAAACCCTTATTGAATGAAGGATAAAACTAAGATGCAAGGCCGATTTGGAGAGGGAAAGGCAGTGGGGCTGGAGGGCAGCACTGGCCGGTGCAGACCCTGGGCCTGCTGGCCTCTGTCAGCTGGGGAGGAGGGTGGGCAGTGCCAGCTCTGCCCCTGCAGACGTGGCTCTCCTGGGGGAGGCACAGCCTGAGCTTCCCAAATAAGGGAGCTGAAGCTGCAGGTTTGCCAACGCTGCCCCTCCCTCGGCTCCTCCTGGCGGCAGCCCACTCACCGCGGCAGTCGGCGTAGTCGTGGTGCCCAGGCGCGTAGTGCCCGCACAGCCGCTGCAGCAGCAGGCGGTAGTGCACCAGTCGCTGGATGGGCTTCAGCAAGAACGTGTTGAGAGGCAAGTAGCAGACTTTCTGGAGCTCGAACTCTCTGTACACGGTCTCCAGCTTCCTGGAGCGTTTGGTGGCCTTTTCCAGTTCTGTCAGCACCTCGTCGTGCCGTTGGAAGCAGCCGGTGAACTGCTGTGGAGGCACAACAGGGGCTCGTTAGGTCAGGGCCCTGGACAGGGAGTCCAGCTGGGAGTGGCCGGTCTGGACGTCACACCCCGGCTGGGAACCCCGATGGGGCAGCACAGAGGACATTGGCCGGAGCATGCCAGCTGGTGTCCAGCCTTCCTGGGGCTCCTCCAGCCCCATTGGAGACTCCACCCCACCCCAACCTCATGCCAGCAGGAAGCACCCCTCGCTGCTGACTGCCCTCAAACCTCGAGTGCGGGGAGGACCACCGAGGCTGAGAGGGCTGCACCTGCCTCAGGTGACAGCAGGGAGCTCACCGCCGCGGGCGGGCAAAGCGTGTTCAACCCACTTACCAGAGAGGGAGGGTCACTCCTGACACCGTCACACACCAAGTGCATACCTGTACGGGCTGGCAGTGTCTCAGTCATACTAAACTCAACTAGTCCCTACCTTCTAGAAGTTTCTAATATTCAATCAGTTTGTTTTAATGAACATTACATGTGACTTGTGTGGTATAAGCCCAATCGAACAGATTTATATATATTTTGATTTAACATTTTTGTAAGGCTTTCGGGACAGGTGGTAACACTTATTCATGAGCCTGGCTCAGAAAACCAAAATGTGTGGGGGTAAAAGAGGGGGCTCTGGGCAGGCAGGGCTCTCTGAAGGCAGCGTGAGCCATCCTGTGGCCCCTCAGGTGTCTGGGAGCGGCACGGTGGAAGGACCTAGGAGCCTGGCGGACTGGGAGGAGGTGGGGCGGGCTGGGAAGAGGTGGGGGGGACTGGGAGGAGGTGGGGCTGCGGACTGGGAGGAGGTGGGGCGGACTGGGAGGAGGTGGGGAGGACTGGGAGGAGGTGGGGCGGACTGGGAAGAGGTGGGACAGGCCTGGGAGGAGGTGGGACAGGCCTGGGACGGAGGTGCCGCCTCCCAGTGAATGGGCCCCACAGAGAAGGCTCGGGGTCTTGGAGTGATGTGAGCGGGTAGAGACGGCGGTGGGAGGGACCCCCGTCTCGGGCTGGGTGCGAGAGCTCTGGGACAGATGTGTGGGCAGGAGAGGCCTGTCCCAGACCGATCAGCACAACAGGACCCTGCGCAGTGAAAGCGCAGCCGCGGGGTCCAACGCCTGCGGTGGCCGCCCCCCCCCCCCGGCCCCCCGAGGGCCTCCCGCGGCCGCCACGCTGCTGAGTGGTTCCGACAGCCAATCCGTCCGGGCTTTCCTTGGCATGTTTTCTTCACGAACCTCTGATGCCTCTGAAGAAAACCCCTGATCGACGAGCCCAGAGGAGAGTGGATGCAAACCCTAACAACCCCGACAGGCTCTGCGTACCCTATCAGCAAGCTCAGCAAAAACAGCCCCTGGGCCCGGGCTCAGGTCCCCTGCGAATCCAGCTCCCAGCACACGTCCCCTGAGGCTGCCCGAGGTGAGGGGTTCTCTGAGGGGCCTGGCTCCCAGAGGAAGGACCTCTGAATGGAGCCCTGTCCTGACCGAGCGCTGCTTGGAGGGGAGGGTGATGCTCCCAGGAATTAGACTGTCCTTAGGGGAAGCAGCTCTGAGGTGAGAGCTGTTCCCAGGGGACTCGGCCCTGAGGGGACACTGTGCTGCCCGAGTCGCTACCTTTAGCTGGTGCATGTTCCGGAGCAGGACGTCCCCGATTCGCTGGTGGCTGCCTGCGGCCTGGGCACCGGAAGGTCCATCCCTGCAGCAGAGACGGACAAATACAGTCAAACCTCAGGACATCTCGTGAGACCACGCTGACCCACCTCGTGGGCCAGCTGTCTGTCCATCACGGCCAGGACAGCAGCGAGCTCCTTGGAGGTGGGAGGTCTGTGCTTGACAGGAGCCGTCTTTACTTGTGGGCCATTCTCTAACAGACAGTGACTAAGAAAAAATAGAACCATCTGCTTTTAACAACCCTGTTTATTCTTCTGAAATAGGATGAATAAACGTGATTATTATTGTCTACTCCTCCTCACACGTTTTAAAAATAGACTTCAGTGAAGTAATGACTGGTGAATTAGCGTCTGAAGCTGGGACGTTCCCGAAAGCAGTGGTGGTGGTGAGGGGCGGCCGTGTGTGCGGCGGGGGGAGGGGGCGCGGTGGAGGGGGCGGGCGAGGGCGTTACCAGAGTGCCAGCCTCTGCTCCACCTCACACAGGAAGCCCCTGTGGAACTCGTAGATGGGGTCGATGTTGGAGAAGAGCAGCGTCATCAGGTCTGCAGGCATGGCGTCCTCCTTGACCACGGCGCTGCGGAACCACTGCGGGAAGAGCCGAGCGCGGGGCCTGAGGGCCACTCGGGCTGTGGCCACGGGGCAGCCGTGCTGACCGAGTCCTCTGAGGACGGGTCACATGCCACGGCTGTCCTCTTGACCGGCCACCAAGTTTCCCCAATGTCACAAGAGAACCATTCTGGATGAGAAGCTTCAAGTGGCTCTATTCCCAGTTTTATTAAAAAAAAAAAACAGACCCAATATTCTGACCCGACTGAGACATTCTTTAGATGTATTTCACAGAACATGTGCATATAGATCTCATGATGGCTGAGAAGTATTTCTTGGGAGGGCTCCTCTGTCTCTGGTTTAGGATTAAGAAATATTAAGAAAATCAGCCAAAACCGGTTTGGCTCAGTGGATAGAGCATCTGCCTGCGGACTGAAGGGTCCCAGGTTGGACTCTGGTCAAGGGCATGTACCTTGGTTGCGGGCACATCCCCAGTAGGGGGTGTGCAGGAGGCGGCTGATGGATGTTTCTCTCTCATCGATGTTTCTAGCTCTCTATCCCTCTCCCTTCCTCTCTGTAAAAAAAATCAATAAAATATATTTTAAAAAATATTAAGAAAAATCAAAGGAATAAAAGACTTAGTTTTCATACCACAGTGATAACCTCTAAGTCCTTCAGGTACGTGCGTTCCGTGGCGAGAATCTCCTTCGCTATGAAGTAGGCCTCGTCGGCGCCCGGGCCCTGCAAGGGGCGCAGACGGTGAGCAGGTGCCTGTCAGACCCGCTCTCTTCTGCTCAGATTAACATTCTCACACGGGTTTGTGGGTAATTCCCGAGGACACTCCCCTCTGAGTAAAAATATAAGCCCGGTTGTTTCTCCTTCACATGTTTTTCTCATGGTATGTTATTCTTTTTGAGAAATAATTGCTGTTCAAACATCAACATATGGAAGCTAATTATTGGTTTTGTGATAAAATTACTGTTCAGATATCACTGCCAGGAGTGTAGCTGCTTCACACACAGACATGAGAGTGTGCATATGTATACGTGTAATGATAACAATTAAGCCTAACTCACAAAAAAGTCATTGATATTGCCAACAGTATACACCCTAACGGTGCCCTGTGTGAGGGCACCAGGCGGCCAGCACATATGGAGTGCAGGGCCCGAGATGGCCCAGCGCCTCTGCCTCACGTGTAGGTGTTGGCAGGCCCGTCAGCAATGATGGGACCCTCAGGAGCAGAAAGGGTGGCACTGCGCCCCTGGGAACCCAGGCCCCCCCCATGCCTGGCTTGTGGCAAAGCATAGGCCCCACGCTTGGGCTCGATGACCCCTTCTCCATCCTTCCTGTCTGGATGACACGGGTCCCGCTCTATCCTGTGCCCTTGTGCTGTCCTCCACCAGGCTGAGATCTCGAAGAGACCAGCTGTCCCCACGTCTGCCATGCAAGCATGCGTATGAAGCACATGCCAGCCCCAAAGAGGCACCTGAGACGGGCCCAGGAACAGAGTGGACAGCATCTCAGCAGGAAAGAGACAAGCAGCCTGGCCCTGGCTAGTGGGGAAATTCCCAGCACAGGAGAGAAGTCCTCTGGGCCCAAGGCAGAGCAGGAAGTGAGGCAGCCACAGCCTCCAGGGAGAGGGTGGGGTTAGCAGCTGGGCGTGGGAGGCAGGTCAGAGGTCAAGGGGGAGGGGAAAGAGGTTATTGGCAGGGAAGGCAGGGAGAGATTTTGGGGTGGTGCAGGCTGGGAGGCCTCTTCCCACCCTGGGAAGGGGAATGGCCGGAGGAGGGGTGGGACCCTGGACACACTGAGGGTCCAGTTCTGGTGTGGGTGGAGGAGTGAAGGACAAAGGAGGCAAGGGTGTTAGTTTTGGGCATAAAGCCAAAGGAAAAAGCCTCTGAACCATGCAGGTGACAGGTTTGAGGAGGAAGGTCAGGGGTCAGGCTGGCCCCCGTTTCCATTGCTGACCCCCATTTCTAGGGCACAGAAACCTCTCAGGAAGCCCTCAGTGGGGAGAAGGCCAGGAAGCCACCCACACGTCTGCCGCAGGCTGGGTGTGGGGGGGGATGCCGGGAGGGGATGTGCTTTCTGCCGTGCTCTGCTCTGCCACCTGCCCTGCGCAAAGCGGCGAGATCCGAGCGTGGTGCTGTGGCCACTTCTCTCAGCCCACGCCGTCCCCTGTGAGAGGCACCAGCCACCTTCAGCTTTTGTACCTTTCGAATATTGTTGTTCCTCACCAATTTCTATTAGAAAGGAGGAGAAACAGTGCGTTAAGTGGGAGACGCTGATGAGAACAAGCCACACGGATGCTCCTGAGGGACAGGAGGGACAGCCCTGCCTTTCTGCACAGCCAGACGTGAACGCCCTGGCCACACCCAGATTCCCAACCCCTGCATTTGTTTGGTGGGGAAGCTGAGGAGCCCAAGACTGCCAGGTCCCACTGGGGGGTCATCAGTGAACCTGGGGGCCGGGCCTTGTAGGGGACGCTGGTTCACAAAACCAGCACAGAACACAGCTAGTCACTCCCTGGGGTGGCCCAGGGGGCAGAGGTGAAGAAAGAGCTGTTCTGCCACCCGGGAACCCCCTGTGCTTACTGTAGCCTGGCACACGCAGCATCCCGCGGCCACATGGCCGGGAAATAGGAGGCAGTGTGAGGGGGAGGGTGGTCCCGCTGTGTGAGGTGGCTGCACCGTGACCTCCCTGTCCCTTCTCTCAGAGGCCTGGTGAGATAACAATGGCCACAGACACCTCTGTTAGCCCAATTAACCTCAGGTGCCAGGTGTCAGAGGTCATCACCCTACAGATCACCACCTCAAGATCAACTATTTTATGAATACAGAAAGTGACAAGTTAAAATTCACTTTTTTAAACAGCTTTCCTCCAAGCCATTTTTGGTACCGCACCAAAGCAACGTGGCCAAGATGGAGGCCCGAGGGCTGGGGGCTGGCTGCGAAGCCCCGACCACCGGGGGGCGCCCACTCCTCCTACACAGCAGGCCTTCCCTTCAGGGCCTCTGGCGCTGCAGAGGACCCGGGCCCGGCACAAGAACAGATGTCTGCTCTTTGGACAATTCAGGAGGAAACACACGAGTGCTAAGGTGTTCTCGATGACAGCTGCCCGCAGGACAGGCACCTGCGGGGCGCGATCCCACCACGTGGGGAGCGGTTCAACACGGCTTCCTTCAGGTGTGCACCTCGGGGGCCCCCACTCGGGGCAGGGGAACAGATAGATGGTTCCTGGCTTCTCCTTCTCCATGGCCCTCAGGGCCCACACAATCCACCGCCCATTATTTTAACCACTCTCTTCCCCCAATGTCTAATTCCCTGGGCCCTCTGCCCTTCCTTATGTGCTCACACTCAGAGCCACCTTGCCCTGACTGCCTTGACCAGGACATGGCCCACGCTGCAGGCCAGGGCCACAGAGTGGAAGTGGCCACGAGGCCAGGGGTGCCAATGCCTCTAGCTGCCGCCTTGTCCTTGAACCATGAGCTCTCTATCCCACCTTTTTGCACCTGCCCCACTCCTATCCCTGAGGAATCACCTCTACTTTCTATCCTAAATCCACCCTATCCCTTCGCTCCCCTTGCATGGACACTCCAGGACCCATTATACATCAGCCCGACTCCCTTGATCCCAACAAGACTGGTCCCCAGAAAACCCTTCCTGAGCATAGACCTCCCCCCCCGCCCCCCATTACTGGGCTGAGGGCTCCTCCAGGGCCTGCCCCTTCTGCCACATCCTCAGGGCCCAGCCCAACACTCGGAGCCCATCGGTGCCAGGTACTGTTACAAAGGTCCCAAGAGAGTCCCCCAAAGTGACAGGAGGACCTCAAGACGAGATTTCTCTGGGGAATCCAGCTCACCATCGTCCCTCAGAGGCCTGGGGTGGGAGGGCTGTGTGGGCATAGGGCTCAGTCCCGCTCCGCCCACAGGGTTCCCAACCCAGAGGGAAGTTTGCAAACCCAGGCCCACCAGCACCCAGCCCTCTGCTTGGGGCGGTGCCCACCTTGTGTTTCGGCTCCTCCTCCTCGTCCATCCTGGTTCCGCCAGCGTCGCTAAGGACAGGGCTCAGGAGTGGGGATGAGCCCCGCTCGGCTGGGCCCAGTGTCACCTGAAACACAGGGCTCAGGCTCAGTGGGCTCTTCCGGGTGGAGGGAGAAGGCTGAGGACTGTCCTTGGGAAGGCCTGGAATTGAACAGGGCAGGGGAGGGAGTGAGAAATGAGAAAGGGCCAGGATGCGGCCAGACACCACATTTCTTACCAGGTGTTAGCAACCCTAGCCTTACACTGCTGCTCAGCACTTTCTGGAAACTGTAAGTAAAGACACTACCACATGCATTTCTCTATGTGACATAAAGTGAACATGAGAAAAGGTCAATGGCTGACCAATCTGACTTCGCAGACACCAACCACAGACACGGGGACCCTGGAGTGGTGCAGTTCCAGGGTTTTCTCTTTGCTCCAGAGAGAAAAGCAGCAGCACAAGCATGTGAAGAAGGATAGACCTTCTGTGTATGTGCTAGAGACAATTCAAACTGATGTTAACATATCTGAAGAAATGTCTATTTTAAGGCTAAATTCATTTAAAGAACTGATCATATAAAATTACAACTCATTATATTGTTTTCTACTTAATTGATTTTATCTTGGTTTTCTAGAATTATACCACAAAAGTAATTAATAGTTAAATTTCCCCCCTTTTAAAACAATGTTTGCTTTTGACTAGACAGAAACCAACATTTTGGCCTAGTTCTAAAATGTCTAATGATGAGGTATATTCTATCCTACATTTTGTAATAAAGAAATTCTCTTATCCATTATTTTTTAAGAATTCTTAAAGGTTTATTTCTAATATTCTCCCCCCTCTGAAAAAACAATTACTATTAAATGCTGAATTTTAAAGATACCATTAAAGCAGAGTTTTAATAAAAACACGTAACTGCTGTTTAAAAAGATCCTTAAGATAGACATTTACCTTAAGTTTCCAAATGTATAGAGTTTTATACTCAAACTACCATTATTTCTAACATGATTAACTCCGCTTACAAAATGCTGGGGTAGAAATAACTCAATTTGAGCCCGTGGTGGCTGCTCACTCCCTACACAATGGCTTAAAGCAAGATCCTCCAACACTGAAGACTTCAGATGCAGTCACCTATAGTGACCAGCTTATAAAACCAAAGCTTGGTTTATTTATCCCAAAGCATGGAAGTGTGTAGGCAAGTGTAGAGGTTTTGTGAACACCTGACACACCTGTTTCCTGCTCCGTGTACAGTCATAAGCAACGGAACTAGAGTTAGTTAGCCAACCCCAGGCAGCGTCCCAGGCTGGCGAGGGCCCTATTTTCACATTGACAAATCTGGAGCTTGGATGCCACCGAGGTGCTTCCAGAGATGAATTACCAAAGCCAAGACGGCAGTTACCTCTGGAATTTCTCACAACTGACAGAGTTAAAACACGACGAAACACTCACTCACATTAGAAAACCTGGACAAAGTAAGATATGTAATTAACAACCAGTTTATTAGAATTTGCTTTTATTACACATTTAAAATATGCTAAGCCACCTTAAAATAACATAAAATTCCTAAACCCCTTCTCCCACACCAGGACCAGACTCTAAGGTCTGAAGGACCCAAACCCGAATGGAGGGCTCCCGGCTAGCCCCAGCACAGTTACTTTTCACACGGAGAAGAGGCATGTGTCCAAAGATGAGCTACTTAGGATTTGCACTCCAAAATCCTTTTGTCCCTAATAAGCCCAAAATTGCATTATGAGATACCTTCACACATTGAGATTTTAGAAAAAGTCTAGAAGTGACTAATAACTCATCTATTTATTCTTCACAATTGTACTGTTCAGGGTGTGAGAGCCAAGTGTTTTACGCTCAGTGGCTGTGAAAGAAGTACAAGGTCATTGTTTACTCTCCCGTCTACCAGCACCGCACACAGCTCCTCCCTTGGAGATGGGCAGTCCCATAGCAAATTACTAGTTGGCAATTCACCAAAAAGTTGCTGCAAAACTTGACTTCATTTTTCAATAGCGGAAGGAGAAAGCCGAGGAGATGGGATGACCAGCTAGCTCTCTGCTCTGCTGGCCCGTGTGGGCTAGTAAAGCTGTCAGATTAGAGATGCAGCCCAGTACACAGCCCCTCGGTGAAGAAACGTAAAAGAGAGGGAACCTTTCAGGACGGACTGCTCATTTGGGAGGATAAAAGTCATCATTTGATGTTAGCATTGTAGATACTTCTCATTTCACAAAAACTGTCAACTTACAATTTAGTGAACAGATTAAAAAGTATCACAAACTGCCATTAAATACTTGTTTTTATTAAATCTGTCAGCTACAGCATAATGTTATAAGTCATACCTCCTTCCAATATGTAAACACAGATCCTACAAGATAAAGTCAACAAATCTGTGGGAAGCTATCTTTTCAAGCAAATGACTCATCTACACCCGGTTGTCTGAGTGTACATCATGTGCCCATGCCCTAGCCTATGTGGCCAACTACTGTGTGTGTCGCTCACACACACTCCATACCAAGGAACAAGCGTGGACGGCGGCTCGGCAGGCATCTCTCCAGAAGGGATGCTGGGGTGGCCCCAGCCTGCTGGGATGATGGGAGGGGTGTAAGAGGAGCACTCCCTTGCCTCGGAATATCCTGCCCATGTTCACAATGCACATTAGAGTGCCTGGATAAGAGGCCGATGTCTTCAGAACTTTAGGTATCACAGAATATGTTTAGCCTTAACTGACGTGGTAAAAAATTACCCTGAGATTTTTATAAAAACTGACCTCCGTGTCCAAGGTCCTCTGTGGAACAACAGGCAGGAAGAGTGGATGTTGCTCTGCGTTACAAGAGTCCCTACGACAGCATCCACTGAGGCACAGAGCGTGCTTCCAGACCACTGTGATGCCAAGGAGTGGTAGACAAAGAATTTTTGGAAATTCTTCAATTTTCAAAATCTGGTTAAAGTGACAGACACAAGTGGCAGTTGTTTCACCGAGCTTCGAGTTTCTGCTGGAGTGGATCAGACTGTCTACTGTGTTCACAGACAGGCTCCGTTCTCAAGGCTGCAAGTTACAAAAAGTGCTTAAATTTAAAACTATTTCAAACTTGGCAGTGAGTACGTCTGGCAGTTGGTTTTCTTTGCTTCCTGGCACTTGTTATTTCAAAAAATCTTGAAATACTTATCTTATAATTTTTGAAATGTCACGTTAAAAAGCACAGTATTATACGTTGTGGTTACCTTCATTTTCTTCATCTAACTAGGTAATGAAAGACAAATATCACGTTTAGAGGAAAGTTAACATTACTTTTATTTCATACCTTTAAATCCTCCTCATCAAATCTCTATAATAAATAATCTTGAACATTTTTGCCTAATAGTGGAGAAAGAATCAGCTCCAGTTTGGGAGACTCAAGGTTAAGTTTGAGGGTTAATGTGACAGTAGGAGGCATAAAATCTAGAAATTCCTTCTTTAGCTTGAACAATGACTCAGCAATCCCGTGAGAGTAGGGAAGGCTGACTTGTCCATAGAATCCAGGTGAATGTGAGTTGCTGCTGAGTTAGCTATCTCTGGCTCCATTTTTGGACTAGAATGTCATGAGTCACTTTACACAAAATTTGGCTTAAAAAAAGCAAGTGGCCAGTAGAAAAATGGCCCAATTATCAGTTCATCTTAGACTTTGTCCTGCAAAGGTCACCTTCCTGCTCTTCTTCATCTACAAAATAGCAGGTGAGAATCTGACACATGGTCTGTCCTCTCCATGGGGCTGAGAAGCCTACACAAGGAAGGCTGGAGTGGGTGCCTGGCCAATGACTCACGTGGTGACCTGAAGTTCAGAGGGTGACAACATGGCAGTGCTCCCAAGAAGCATTTTTTAGTTGTTTTTTGTTTGTTTGTTTGTTCTAAATAATCAAGACTCTTTCCTTGTTGAGAAAAACAGGCGCATTAACCGATAACATTGTAATACTGTGGGTCATTTTTCCGGCTTGGTGCCTGCTGGGTGTGGGGTTTCCACTGTAAGTGCACACATATGGGTGTCCCAGGGAACTCTGTCTTTGTTCTAATAAACAACACCTTTTGTCTCAAACTTTGAGAAGCTGTGACTAAGATCCTCTAAACTATTGGATCAATGACAGCAAGGTCCCGAAAGCAAACTATTCAATAAATGAAAATGTCTATAGGTGACTTTCATTAGAAAAAAAAAAAGTAATCTGAAATAGCATACTTCAAATATAAAGGCCATACAGTGTTACTCTCCTTACAGGCAACCTACAGAGCCAATAGAGAAATGCTTTTGAGCAGTGTCTTAAAATCTGGATTTGTCACAGAGGTGTCTCTCTGAGGATCCACTCGTTTCCATCACCACTTCATTCCCAAACTGGGGCACTGGGCAGTGGTGGCCTCGGTCAGGGAGCAGGGCTGGCCTGACATGGGAGGGAACTGACTCTTGCTTGGTGACCCACCACCCTCTTCTCTCAGTGGGGAGTGACTGCAGACAAGGGTCTTTTCTAGAAGGCCATTGGCATGTGCCAGTCTCCTTAAAAGCTGAGGAGACCCCCCCCCCCCCACACACACACACTCCTGTGCAGCACAGAATAGCCCAGAGGGAGCAAATGCTGCTGCCCAGGAGGCAGGGGGTAGGGTATCACCAATCCCATGACCCAAGTGTGGCTGGAGCCCAGGACAGCTCTGGGGAAGCAGCAGAAAGTATGTTAGCCGAGTGGGAAACAAGTTCAGAGCTGGAGTAAAGACTGTCCAGAATCTGAACTGAGGCTACACCATGGGCCAGGGATTTTATAGGGTGGGTTCTAGCCAACTGGTTGGGAAAGGCAATAATGTTCTTTTTTTCAGAATTAAGAAGCCAATAGCATGTGCTCTGTGCACAGGACCAGCCCAGGGACCACATGGTTCAAACCTAGACTGCAAACAGTGCTGCCCTCAGCCAGAGCCTCAAGCTTAGAGCAGGCAACTGCCATTCACCTGTGCACCTGACCACACAGCTGGGCTGGCCGACAGAAAGCACTGAAAGTTGGCTAAGGCTGAGAAAAGCAAGCCCTCTCCTTGCCGTCACCGGCCTTCAGGGCATGTTGTCCACATCTGAAACAGATAATGCCTGTTTGCTGCTCAGAAGCCTATAAAGTGAAGAGCCGTTTCAGGGATTCATTTAACATG